AACTGCTAATCTCCATACTACAGGTCGTAACTATAAAATAGGTCAAAATCCCGTCTTATATCTATCTAGATGACGCTGATCGTAGAAGTAGTAGTCTAGAAGTAGTTTACATACGCTATAGACTAGAGATGCCACGAATATTCGGCTACTATTCGGTATCCGGCCTATTCGGCAAGTTTTTTTAATATTCGGTATTCGGTCAAATACTACGACTATTCAGCCGAATACCGAATATCAAGTAATGAAAAGAAGCACATATTATTCAAAATGTATCATGTATTTATTGACAAATTATTGCTTTAATATTTAAAATCAATCAGTGGCAGATTGTGATCTATGAAAACAATTTTTTCAGCATTGATTGGTAACAAGCGATTGCCCTTTTTCTCATAAACAATTCCTGCTTCTGGAAATAGCCTCTCACTATAAACACTACTGCCAGGAGACGACAGATAAATCTGAGCAAATTTTCGACAGACTTAGATACTGCTTTGCGTTTGCTGACCACCACTTGTAAGGATCTGCCTTCCGACCTAGGCGAACAGGTTTCAAATAAAAAACAATCTCACGTGCAATAGAACTGTTTTTCAGATCCTCATCATTTTGCATATTATCTGTCATCAGAAACTGTCATGTATTGATTATATCGTTTGTTATCATTTTTCAACAAAAACACCCCAGCCACGTTACTCCGCATGCAGCACAATGAAACAGGTCGTAACAGGTCGCGCGTGAAATGGACAGATCTTACGCCGAACATTCGGCAGCCGAATATTCGGCGCTTCGGCCGAGAACGTGGCCGAATATTCGGTATTCAGCCAAATCACTATTCGTGGCATCTCTACTATAGACTACTAGACAAAGTATTATAATATCACCTCGTTTGCTGTGAGTACCTGTATACTATATTTTATCGCAATTACCTCGGCCAATTAGCTCAGTCGCCTGCGCAGAGCTCATGTGCAGAGCCCTTGCAATACACATATGTATAATCATGGAACAAAAGTTGTTGTTTATGGTATTTGATCAACAAGCGACATCTAAGTCATTTGAAGCACCTGTAAAGCTGCTGTAACGTTTCAAAAATCTCTCACTAGATGTCACTAGAGACGACGAATGCTGAAAAACCAGTACAAAGATCTATAACAAAAACACACTTGACCTGTGGCTCAGTTGGTAAGAGTAATGCTACGGTGCTGCATAGTCGTGGGATCTTTGTATTAATAATATAATCATAACAAAACTAGTGAAGTTATTTCACAAAAAATCTCAATAATAATAATAACGCACACACCCAACATAGCACCGCACTAGGGAATCCCTGTGTCGCGAGTGCTATGGACACACTCATAGACAACCACAAATTACATCCAAACTCACGAGAGAAATATATGTAAGCCATACAAATATTTCTCCCGGCCCGGGAATCGAACCTGGGACCTCTGCGTGGCAGTCCGGCAGTATAATACATTTGCTGTTTATGGTGTTAATAACATAGTCTTGCGAGGTTATTAGCATTTTATAAATAACCCTGTATACATTTTTATAAATTATCTTAAATACTAAATAGGGGACAGCTTTGTTACCTGGCAAGCGGTGAGTATATGTCGTCCTCCAGCATCGACCTCCATGTCGTACAAAGTTGTTCGACCGGACACGTTTTGTCCACGTGCGAATTGATAGCTGCCGTCGTGCGTCTGTTAATTACATATTCTCAATTACTTGTCGTATTTTTAATTCACAAACAGGCGTAACATAATTGGAAGAACGTTTGCTTATGATACAGAAGCTTTAGATCATAGTTTCCCAAAAGTTTTTCCTACCTGGAGAGTCATATGGGGGCTACCATTTTGGAAAAAACCTGAATCATCTCTATAAACTACATAATATATAATTTATTTAACAGATTTCTTAAAAAAGAGGAGGTTACGCGGTAATGTGAACCTATTTTGATTATTCTTTTTTTCGTTGGAAAGAGGGTACCTCAGTAGTGGTCCCATCATCTTCTTCAAATTTATTGAAGAAAATATTCCGGCTCTAAGGGCGGCAAACTAGAGGATCTCTCTGTACTGAGATTATTCACTGTTATTTTTTGTGTGAAGTTAATATAAAAAATACGTTTTTAATTTTTTTTTCTGGCGGTGGGAGTTAAACTTTTTTTAATCTTGCCTATGTGGGTGGTAAGTTTGGGAACCTGTGCTTTAGATCGTCGATGCGGCAAAAACGTCGCAAGTAGAATTGTGTTTTTTTTATAATACCTATAGACGAGACGAACAAGTCGTGCGTCTGATGGTAAGCGACACGCCTGTCCATCGCCGTTGCAGTACCCCTCAGATTTTTGCAATTCAAACGTCTGAGGGGCACTGCAATTGTTATGAACAGACGTGTCGCTTGCCACCAGGCGCACAACATTTGGTATCATAAAAAGAAAAAAGTCGGAGTAGCCTAGTTTAGGTTCCACTACTGGGAACAGGATACTTCTAACCATTCCTTAAACTACTTACCGTGCGTAACTGCCTAAAGAGTATGGTTTTATCAGCACCGCAAGACACCATCTGAAGACCACCACTCGAGCTGAGGAATCTGACAGCTGTAATTGATGAGGAGTGCTCGTCCAAGGTCTGCAGGATTTGATAGCCCTGGAATCAAAAGGTCGGGAATCAGATATCATTTTTATAAACTGATAAAATACAAACCATTTTACGTCCGTTCGTAATAAAGGAGAACATATTGGTAGACCAATAATATTCGTTTCTACAATATGGACAGACTCTAGCGAATAATAAACTTATTTTATTGCTAATTATACAATCACAAAGGCAAAATGGTAAAAGGGTATTAACATATTTTAAAGCTGGTTCATTAATACTTAAACCTCAGCCATCAGGTGAGCGACGAGGAAATAAAGATGGCGCTTTTTTAAATATCAGTGAATGGAGCTTAAATCAGTGCTCGTTGTAATCAATAGATAGCGCTACTCACCCGGTCAACCAAGAATACGTGTATAAGTCTATCCCTTGAGGCGGAAGCCAGCAGTCGGGGCTTAGCGGAATACTCTAGACATAGGACCTCAGCGTCGTGAGCCTCCAAGGTCCTGAGGAGGTTTCCCTTGGCGTCGTGGATCCAGATGTTGCCGGCTCGGTCGCCCGACGCGATGTGCGCTCCGTCGGGAGAAACTCGCACGCATCTGGAAATAAGTATAATTGAAAAGGTCACTTCACTGGCGCCACCTTTGGTTAGGCCAAGTAGCCGTACTTGATGATGGACTACGAAATATGGTTTCCAGTTATCACCAAATCACATGGACGGAACTTTCAATAAAATGCTGTTTTTTAACATATCATATTCGAAGTAAGTATTGATCACAGAACAATAAATACAGTGGAAGTGCTTTGTGGGTGTGGCACGTGTGCCAACAGTACGCGGAGTTCCGCATACTTGAGCTCGCGCTGCCATTTGCCACTATAACCTCGAAAATCGTGAAAAAATTGCCTTATTTTGCTACTATGGCGTGCAAAAATGAGCCTCGCATGTGTAATATTATCGAAGGTTTCGTATCATCGTTAAGTCTTACTTGATTTAAATTTAATAAATTTTCCATTTTCTATTTATCGTAGTAGATTTTTCGTCATAAGACACAAAAGTAAACCATTTTATATCGCTGCAATGCGGTCACTTCACCTCGAGGTCGTCGTCGTTCAGCCAATGACCGCTAGATGGCAGCACACAGATTAAAATTTGTATATAAAATCAAAACGGCGTAACTTGCAATAATAAGTATGGAACTTCCAGCGATATGCCAAGAGGGTAAAGTTTAACAGTCCAGAATTTATTTCTTTTTAAATTAGAAACTATGATCTATCGTTGTCACGATTTCATAGCGTGTGTCGACAGATGAAAAGAGTCCGCTACTCGTCCTCCCATCGTCCAGTTACATACCGTTTCTTCTCTACGCATCCTCGCACCGCCTAACTACCTCGCACATCTCTGGTAGAATCGCAGCCTAAGGCACTTTCATTTTGGTATGGACGATCTCGGTGGGCCAACGGTTTACACCGGATACTTGGTGTAGTTGTCTGGCACATAACAAGCTATAAGCAACCAGACGGAACCAAAACGAACGAGCGAATACTCACCGAACTCCAGTCTTATCGTCGTAACTCTTCGATTTGTCTTTATCGCTGGTTGCTGTTAAGTCCACGTCCTTGAGAAACTTCAGCTCCGGATCTATGTATAGCACTTTGGTCAATTCCTGGAAAATATCAATAAATTTACATTTCTACTACGATAATCGATTTGTTTCGTAATAAAATTTGAAAGATGTATGACGTCACGAAGCCGATATAAGCAAGTGAACGAAGTGCCCTCTTCGACTGAGTTCAAGAAGTGATGTCATACGGCCCTAACCAAAACATCAAGTGACTTGGTGTGTTTTCAACGGAAAGTTATTGATGTATTTTTTTTTTATCTACTGAGCATTGGCTATAAAGTCATCTATGTAATATTTCGAGTAAAAACTTAAAAAGTGTTGTGTGTTTTCTGCCATTACGGTTTGAAACAAGATTGACGTAAAAGATATATAGAGGCAATGGAAGATAACATTGGAAGAAGACATTTTCAATTCGACTTCAGTCAGCTGTGACCAAGCGACCTGTAAAGGGCTCGAAACGTTGGTTGGTTGAAAAATGAACACACGCGATTTATTATATGAGTTTCATTTCTAATTTTAATAATGATAACAACTAGTGGAGTTATTTAGACAGGGAATGCCAGCGGGTGGCGGTGGACTCACGTTGCTGTAGATGTTGGGGCCCCCGGGCGGCTTGAGGTGCCACAGGCGCACGGTGTCGTCGCTGGAGCAGGTGAGCAACGTGCCGGCGGGCGCGGGCCCGTCGCTGGCCACCATGTCCACGCCCCAGATGCAGGCCGAGTGGTACAGCGCCGAGTGCGCCTTGCCCACCTGCGGACCGCCATGCTTGCTACTTCCCAATCTCGAAGACGACTTATTTCAAAGGCAACCCAACCCCCCCCCCCCCTGTACTGCACTTTCGATTGAATTGTAGTAATGCATCTCTTTCACACGGCGCGAAGTCATACGACAAAATGACCGGCGAATCTTCAGTGGACAACGGTTCGAACCCGGCCGGATCGGAGGAATTTTTTCTGACTGCTCGATCTTTGTATTAAAAATTATAACAAACTAGTGGAGTAATTCCACAAAAATAATTGAATATCAATTCAATACAAATTTAAAATATCATAGAATCAATATGAAAGAGATACACTTGTCTCTTTCAGATAATACTTACATACATACCACGCTGTTATTGCAATAGTGTATTAACTCAAAAAGTGTATTTTTTCAGAATGGATGAAAAACAAATTACTCACTTTCGGTGAAAAAATGTATTAAAATTTATGTACAGGCCAAAGTTTATTAAAGACTACACACAGATCGGAATATGACAAGTGAGTGTCAAATTCCGATCATGATTAAAAATGATGTAATGTTAGAACAAAACCATCAACAGTGGCCCACTGCGCCATCTTTTAATTATTTGTTTCATATTCTAAAAAAGATTTAATTGACAGACAGAACAGAAATGGTATAATCTTGAATACACATGTTTTAAGTTACAACACTATTGTAATAGCTGTGCGATTTTTTTTTCTTTATGAAGAACAGCAAATTTTTTTATTCTTCATGTTAACATTATATTTATCACTATTTTCCATTAAAAATTACTATTATTTTTAACATAAACGTACTGTGATTGACAATGTAACAATTTTAAACCTATTTCATATCTATATAACTAAATAAAATTTACATCAAACCACCGTACCGATAAATTGTTCAACAAGTTCATACAGCTATACAGAAGAAGTTATACGTACCCGTTTTATATCTCTAACATCCCAAACGTACAAGCTGTGGTCGTTGTAGACGCAAGTCAGTTTATGGTTCGTCTCGTCGTACGTTAGTGCCACCGCGTCTGGGTACCGCGCGTTCGGCGGCTGCGTGAACATGTGGCTGGAAAAGAAGGGGATTAGCATTACCACTAGCATGGACTAGTAAGTCAAGGGGACTGCTAATCGCGATATAAGACCGCGTAGTAGGGTATTTAGTATCTAGTATGCCGCCTCGATAAAGCTATTATATCCACATTTAGTTGACAAATTCGAGTGATAAACCGTATATCGCTATTGTGATAAAATTTTATCACAATAGCGAGTATGGCGAGCACCGTGACGTCACATTTTTATGTCATCGCGAGCGTACAATCGTGCCGTATCGAGCATGACGGCCTTCTGCATTTGTGCTGGAAGCGACACGCCACA